TGACAGAATTGTGTTTTTTTGTATATAAACAAGTCTCAATTGATATGAAAATGGTATCACAATACTCCTAATGTTCAGTGTAACCTGATTATCCGTATTTTACCTCAATTGAACACGTTAAACACCAAGATTTCATTGATCAATGATTCTTGGCTCGTACCCGAGTATGTGTCCTTTACCGTGAATTACTCTCGAAATTAAAGATAATAACAAAAAGATGAATAAATTTGGAAATACTTTATCAAAAATTGATCAAAAACTTTTACACATTGACTCAGTGATATTAATGGCAAATATAACTTCTCCTTATGAGTCTGTGACTTTTGGGAACTCATTGTCACTTAGAGTTGATGGTGGTGTTGGTGCTGTTTCAATTAATCCTTCTGGTAGAGATGTTGTTCTAGCTGGGTAAGGTTATTTTTTCAATATAATTCAACGGAGTTCAATACTAACTAGCGTATAGTCGTCGAGGTCTTTATGTTGTTGATTTAGATGATCCCTTTTCTCCTCCAAGATGGTTTCATCATATGACTTCGTGGGAAGTAGCTGATGTTCAATGGTCTCCACATTCTTCGAAACCTTCTTGGGTTATTTCGACTTCAAATCAAAAGGCAATGGTTTGGAATCTTGCTAGAAGTACTTCAAATGCTATAGAATTTGTTCTTCATGGTCATTCAAGAGCTATCACAGATATCAATTTCCATCCTGATCATCCTGAATTATTGGCCACTTGTTCTGTTGATACCTCAGTTCTCGCGTGGGATACAAGATCTCCAAAAAGACCATTTTATACTGTATCAGATTGGAGAGCCGGTGCTTCACAAGTGAAATGGAATTTTAAGAATCCCAATATTTTATCATCTTCTCATGATCATTATTTTTATGTATGGGATCTTAGAAATAATGCAAAACCTTTACTTAAAATCAACGCACATGAACGGAAAATTAATGGTGTTGATTTCAGTAGGACAAAAGAATCTGAAATTATAACATGTTCAAATGACCATACTGTGAAATTTTGGGATTTATCAAAAGATATCAATAATCCAGTATCAACAATCAATACTGAATTTCCTGTATGGAGAGCTAGACATTTACCATTTGGTGAAGGTTGTTCAATTATGCCCTTAAGAGGTGGTAATAATTCAATTTATTTGTCCAGTAAACAAGATCAACAAGGAGATTCAAAACTTAAATCATGTTATATATTCAAAGGACATACAGACAGAATTACAGACTTTTTATGGAGACAGCGACACTCATCATCAGAAGTTGATGATAGAGATTTCCAATTGGTCACATGGTCAAAAGATTGTGATTTAAGATTATGGAGTATGAATGATGACATTTATGAAAAAGTTGGTTTCCAAAAGGGTGAACCTAAAAAATTACCAACTTATACTTATAAATCTTATAGAGAAGAGCCTGGAGCTTATCTTAATAATGGTTATGCAATGAAGAAAACAAAAGATACATTCGTTTCAAGTAAAGGGGAAACAATCAATTCAGAGGCACATTTATCTTGGATATCTGGTGTTCGTATTGGTAGGTCTGCATTTGCTCCACCAATTGACCAAAATCCAAATGTGAATATTGAAAATTTACCAGATAATTTAGGTGAAGAAGTTAGTGTTGTTGGTCATAAATTTCCGAAAGTTAAATTTGAAAAAATTTCTGTTTCTACTGGTACATTAGTATTATCGTTAAATGGTCCATGGGGTAACACTTCTGAAGAATTAGTGTTTTTAAGAATTGAGATCAAATATCCTAAGACATATCCTTCTGAACCACCAACTTTTAGAATCGAAGAAAATAGAGACTTAGAACAAAGTAAAAGACAAGAGATTTTGAAAACTTTAAATGAAATTGTCAAGAAATACGCAAGTGTCAATCGGTTTTCATTAGAATCAAGTTTGAGATATTTTATGGGAGAAAAAATTGAATTGGATAATTTGGAAAAAGATGATGACGATTTCAGTTTACAATTAGAAGAATTTGATGATCTTTCATCAATCCCATCGTCTGCTTCATCAAGTGAAAGTGAAGCTGAAGATGAAGAATTAATGCCATTAACACATAGTGGTTTAATGTCTGCACCGCTAGTTGATAGTACACCAATACCCAAAGGTTGTGGTGCATGTTGGACCAAAACTGGTGAATTACTTTGCTTTTTTATACCCAAACAAGCAAAACAACAGAACATTATTAAGTTTGATCAAAAGGGATTCAGTAATCAAATGACTTTGAATAACGATGACCAATATAGTGATGATAGTTTATCAGATGATTTAAATGATGTTTTAAAAGATGATGTTAAATCTAGATCTAAAATTCCAGGAGTTTTCAGAATGCAAAATTATAATAACAATCATCAAAACAGAGCACCTTCTTTACCAACCGAAAGATCAGGTGCAACACAACAAAATTCAGTGACCAAAAACATTGTTGCAATATTTGATTTTAAACATTTAATTCCAACAAAACTTGAATTAGCCAAAGAATACAGGATAAGTGGTGGTACACCTTGTGATTTATCAGCTCATAATAGTGAAGTTTGTACAAAGTATGGCTATACAGATCTAGCAGATAGCTGGAGAATTTTATCAACTATATTCAGTCAAAATTTCCATTGGGGTACACATCCATTTGGTAAATCATGGTTGATAAAAGAATTAATGGATTATTATGAAAGACTAGGGGATGTCCAAATGCTTGCTATGTTAAGTTGTGTGATTTATGGTAGTAGATTTCAAAATAATGATCAATTTGCAATGTCAACCATTGAAACATCATCTGTTAATAAAGAAAACAGATCCTTATCAATCCATTCTTATAATGATACCAATTCAATTTACAATTACTCGGAATCAGCTTTCAGATTACCTTTTTCAAGAAGCTCAAGTGTCTTAGCCAAGGAACCAGAAAAACCAATTAGTATTAAGATTGAAATGATGAATGAAGCTGAGCTAGGATTTGCAGAAGAATCATTCAATTATAATTCGATAGAAGATGAAACTTTTGATGAACCAAGATTCACTCGCTATAGAGAACAATATGCAAATATATTATACACATGGGAATTGCCATTTAGTAGAGTGGAAATTTTAAAATTTAATCAAAACATTAATGAATCAGATATTGATATATATAGAAGTAAAATTAGATGGTTGAAAAAAGCTGTGAAATGTTGTAATTATTGTGGATTGGAAGTTAGAAGAAGATTATTTACATGTTATAAGTGTGGACATGTTCTTCATGCTGATTGTGCAACTGAATGGTGGAATGATTCAAATGAATGTCCAACGGGTTGTGGATGTTCATGTATTGATGAATGATCAATATTTTAATTTAATAAATGACTTGATGACTTCAAAACTTTAAAATATGTAGTGGGTAAAAATTGGGTTCATATCGAGGCTCATAAATTATAATACCTGTAGACAGTTGTGTACATTGTACGTGTGCATCCTCAGACTTACAAGTTGACTTTACTGTTGAATGACCATTCTTAGGACTGTGAAAACCGAATAATGAACACTGGATAAAGTATAACAGCTTATATGATCCGCTTATATCCGTTTGATTATATAAGCGATAACTTTTTAAACTTGAGTAAATACATCAAAATATTTTAGATCAATACAATTAAGATATCCTTGAATATACTGAAGATTTTATAATTATCTGATATATGTTTCAAAAAGATTTGAGTGAAAAAATATTTCAAGAATTTTTTTATTTATAATTTTAAACTAGATATAAAATTTATTAGGTTAACTTTATTTCTGAAAATCAGAAACTGAAAAAAAAATCTTTCAAATCACTACAAATCAAATATCAGAGTATTCATTGGTATTACTTTGCTATATTTGAAGGATATTAAATGTTTTGAAGGTGTTTTCTATGATATTAATTTAATTTATTAATTTTTTATGTACGGGTTCCATACAAAAGTCCAGTTTCTTCCCATTTTAGGGCACACTAAAAATCTTAAAATTGAATAAAATTAAAAAAAAAAAATCTCGTCCATATAAAAAAAATTTTCCAAACAAAACTTTTAAACTTCTAACGTATAAATTTTCAACCATCAAATTATTAAAATTATTCAAATCTTTATTGATTTGAGTTATATTATAAGTTGTTCAATGTCTTTTAGTTGATTGATACAAAAAACGGCATTTGAAGCCGGTGCTATATTAAACTAAGATACATAAAGAGTGAGTACCTTTATTTAAAGCATTTGAAAGCTATTCAATTTTTTTCTGATGACACTTTATTTTTTGCTCGAAGACGCAAGTCACTGTGGGCAGATTTCTCATAGACTACAACGGTATCTGACATAAATTATTGAATACACTTTTGAATTGCTTCATTTCAAAGTTTTTTGCCTCGAAGGATTATTTTGAACTAACAGTTTTCTTAAGATGTCAAAAAGAGCTTCTTTAGGCCAAGTGCATAAATATTCTTTACCAGTTCATCCAATTGAGGTTCCTAATATTGTTCCACATAATCCAATATCATGGGTTCAATTCCTGATTGCTTATTGGAAAGGTGTTACTGTTGTTCAAACTACCACTGCTGATTTTGTCAATGGCCAATTTCTTGTATCCAATGATGAAGATATCAAAACTCTTTGGAAAAATGGATTTTTCGGGAAAGGTATTTTCAGTAGAAGTGAAGCTACATGGTATGATAGAACACAAAAAAGATTAGGTCTTGGTGAATTTAAGAATTTAACCATTGAAGAAATTACTGCAATTAGAAGAGATGAACGTAAAAAATTTAAGAAAGAACGTGCTAAACTTGAAGCAAAACAAGCCGAACTCAAGAAAGCTGGTATTGTTGATCCTTTCATTGAAGAAAGATTAGAATTGAAAAATCTTAGAGATAAAGATATTGATGTTAAAGTTGAAAGAACTATTGATTTCCGTGATGATGATCAACAATTGTTAGTTGATGGTAAATTACAAAATCTTGAAACTTTAGAATTGTTTGCTGCTGAAGCATTTTTTCTCAAATTTGCTCTCAATGCAATTAATATAAGGCATAATGATCAACCAATTTCAACAGTTGAGCTGTTTAATAAGCTTTCATCTTCTAAAGTGGATGACTTATTCATCATGAATTATGTTGTTTATCATCATTATCGTTCATTGGGTTGGTGTGTTAGATCTGGTATTAAATTTGGTACTGAGTACTTACTTTACAAAAGAGGTCCACCATTCCATCATGCCGAACACGCTGTGATCATTTTACCAAATTATAAAGATGAACAACAGAATGAACAAGTTGCTAAAGATTTTGTTTGGCTTTCAAGTATAAGCAGAGTCATTGGTGGTGTTCGTAAAAATCTGATTATTGTTTTCGTTGATATTCCAACTCAAGAAGAATTTGATTCATGTGAAACACTTGAAGAAAAATTTAAACTTTACAAGATTAATGAATTGTTGTATAGACGTTGGGTAGCTAATAAAAATCGTGATTAAAGTTTCTTACATTTATATTAATATAAAATTTGTAGTTTCAAAATGCCATCAATCATTAATAATATTTTTTGTTCTATATATGTATCATTTCATACATTATTCTAAATCATACCAGACCATTCCAAGCATCTTCAACCCAACCACAATCTCTTAAACCAGCACTTCTAGCCTTTGGACCTGCTTTTGGATCATCATAAATTTTTTGTAAGTTTCTCTTATTAGTAGCAGGTTTTGATATACAAACATAATTTTCTTTATTTGGCAAGACACATTTCAATTGTGATTTTGGGAAGGGACATGGACATTCAATTTTAGTTTTAACACATGCTTTCGTATCTGGACATAGATAACCATCACATTTGTTTCCTAAGAACTCATCTTCATATGATAATTGTTCTTGTCTTTGTTGTTGACGACGAGCACCACCACTACCACCACCGAAGAACTGTTCAAAAAATTGCGCATTAACCTGTAGCGCAAGCACCAGTACCACAAAGTATTGCATTATAACCTTTGAAGACATCATCCTATCCTAAGCTTTGTGTGTATAATTTGTAAGGAATTCTGTTGATCTCATCTCTTTTACGTGGTCAATTTGGATTTTTTTAATTGATAGAGGTCGGAATTGCGATCTCGATGATGCTCGGACTTTCGAGGGTTTCACGTAACTATGTTGAAATTTCTTTAAGAAAATACGCGTATTAGTTTTGGAGAGACATAACTGAAAAGTCCAAACTAAAGGTATAAAGAGACACAGAAAGAGAGAGAAGTGGGTTGTGTTTTGCTGAAGGATGTACATTACTCGAGGAAACTTCCACAGTGTGTTTGAAGATATCAAGAAGTCCTCTCTCAGTCATTCTACTTGTAAATTGGTTGTGTTTGTATCATGTTTAAACATTGATGCTCTTTGTGCTGCTAAAATATTGACATATGTGCTCAAGAAGGAGTTGATACAGTACCAAGTGATACCGATTGTTGGTTATACAGAGTTGAAGAATCATTATGAGAAGTTAGATGGTGATATATCGAATATAATATTACTTGGATGTGGTGCTATGGTAGATTTAGAAAGTTTCTTCGAAATTGATCCAAATGAATTCATGCAAGTTGAAGATAATCTCGATGGTGATATACCAAAACCAAGTAGGAAGATTTATGTTGTTGATGGTCATAAACCATGGAATCTTGATAATGTTTTCGGATCACATATAATAACATGTCTTGATGATGGCTATATTGATAAAGAATTAGATAATGAAAGAAAAGCATATGAAGAATTGATAAACTTACAAGGTGATGAAGACGAAGAAGAAGAAGATACAGATGATGATAGTGATGAAGACACAGATGAGGATAAAGATGAAGATGAGAAAGATGAAGATGAAGATGAGGAAGAAGAAGAAGAAGGTAATGAAAGTGATAGTTCAGAATCAAGAAAAAGAAAGCATAAATCAGAGCATAAAATCAGAAAGAGAAAAATAAAACAAAATGAAAGAATATTAGAAGAATATTACTCACAAGGTACTACAATCTCAATATCAGTTTCCCTGCAAATATATACATTATTATCAGAAATTGGTGAAACAAATACAGAAAATTTATGGTTAACAATCATTGGTACAATTTCTCTCGATAATCAATACCCAGAAGTTTATAATTCGACATTTAAATCCCTTAAAAGTGAAGTTAATAGATTAAACCCAACATCATTAAATACCAAAAATGCAGATTCCCTTACATTAACCATTGATACAGATTATTATTTATTTTTACTACGACATTGGACATTATACGATAGTTTTTTCTATTCAAATTATGTTAATGCAAAATTATCTATGTGGCAAGAAGATGGCCGTAAGAAATTACACAAGATGTTTGCAAGAATGGGTATTTCATTACAAGATTCCAAACAAAATTGGCTTTATATGAACAGTGATATAAAGAAAAATTTAAATTCTACATTTAATAGAGTCTTGGGGATTTATGGATTAGAAGATTTAATTAGAGAAGGGTTTTTGAGAACTTTTGGATTTAGAGGTTCAATATCAGCAAGTGAATGTGTTGAATCTATTACTGCATTATTAGAACATGATAAAACTAAGATTGAATATTCTGAAGATGAAGAAATTAATGATCTAATTACCAAGAAGGAAAAAGTTTGGATCAATAATTTTTGGTCAAGTTGGGATGCATTAGATAATAATATTGATCTTATTGCAAAAGGTCTTGAACATGCAAAAGATTATCAAAAAATTATATTTGAAACCGGTACAGCAATTCTAGAGAAAAGAATGTTAAAAAATTTAAAAGTTTATAGATTAGTTGTTTTAAAAGATGGACCAGATATTGAATATTTTAAAAATCCATTAATTTTAACAAGATTAGGGAATTGGATTTTAGAAAGTTGTGCAGAATTTGATAGAAATTTGTTACCATTAGTTCTTGCTGCATTAGATGAAAGAACAGATACATATTTAGTTATCGGTTTAGCACCACGTTATCCAAGAGGTCGTAAAAATTTAGAAGATTTAAGTCATGATACAACTTTATTGAATACTTTTAGTATAGCATTCCAACAAGTTGCAAATAATACCGGTGCAAAAGTTAGAATTGATAGTTTTGAAAGTTCAATTATTGAAATTAGAAAAGAAGATTTAGCACCATTTTTAGAGAGATTATCTTTAAGTGGTCTCATTTAATAGAATGTCATACAATATGAATTTTATTTTGTAGTAGTACTTGTTAATGAAATCTTAGATCACTGGTTAGTTACATTTTCTTTTGTCGAAACGTGGAATTTGACATCAATTGATCTGAGACATATCAATATTTTCAAGATCTTATACTTAAGAGCCATACTTTTACGTTATGCATTATAAATCTCTACATTGATAAATTTCACTTAAATAACTTTTATTTGAATATTTTTAATATCTAACCAATAGACATATTCAATTTAAATATCTTAAGCTTTTCTGATAACCCAGAAAGCGTGAGCGTAAGCATCTTCACCACCTTTAACTTCAAAAGTGATAGTAGCACCCTTGTCTAATAAGAAAACATCACCAACTTTAGCATCAATACTTTGACCAGTTTCATCAGAAATGTGGAAAGTACCGTTGTGAACTTCAGTGATTAATTTGAATTCATCAGCAGAGTAAGTATTAACTAATGGTTCACCTGGAATAACTTTAAAGAAACCAGCTTTGATTTTTTGGTCATCTGAAGAGTTTGAAGCAAGGGTTTCACCCAAGTATGAGTTAGCTGAGAATTTTGGTGGAGTAACATCGTAACCTTTAGCTTTTGGAACGTGAGTTAATGGCATTTTGAATTGATTTGTATTGTATTAATTAATTAATCTATTGATGATGATGATGAATAGAATAAAGTTGGAATTGATTAATTGAGAGAGGAATTGACCTTTCTTTTATATTTGAATCTGACCAAAGCTCATCTCGCTGTTGGTTCTTTCTCAGTTCATAAGCCATTGTATTTCTTTGATTGAGTACATTGTACCCTTTCTTGGATCAAGATGATGTTCATTGTTGAAGCTTTGAATTTAAAGCGAGTACCCGAAAAAGGTTAAACAATGCGACTGGTCCCAAAGCGGACAAAAAACCCATCACCTATAAACTTTCAAAGCTCAAGAATTATCCATTTTAATTTTATTATTGGTAATCAGTGATTGTTGTCTTCAAAGCACGCCATTTACCAGTTAATTAAGTCAGCTTTCCACGGAAGAGATCAACTGCAAAAGATAGGGATTAAACCCTCGCAATTATCTACCAGATTCTCATATGTAGATTCAAAAATTCACTCTCGCTGTTGGCAAACTCATAGGTTGTGCTTGCCATGGAGGTAATGAACGATCGAAGGTAGTGAGGTATATCTAGAATAGGATCATAGCCGTTTACATCCAAAATATGGTTATAACTTACTATTATACTGTTATCGTTGTTATCAATTATACTCGAGAATGACGGTCCCGATGAGCTTGATTCATTACGTCTCAATTGATCGAGTCAAAGCTCAATTGATTGATTCAATGCTCAATTATATATAGACTTATACTATGAAGGTGTAGCACTTTCTAAAAGACATCTTGTATTTTGTAATCTATTATATATGAACCAGTCATAAATTTGAAGGCATGAAAGATCAATTTAATTAAACTTGTCCAAAATATTTCTTACCAGCATAGAAATTATAAGCATAGGCATCTTCACCACCTTCAACTTTAAAAGTTATAGTGGAACCTTTCTTGAAATATAAAACATCACCAGGTTTAGCATCAACAGTTGTACCTTCTTCATCAGTAACTGTGAATGTACCATTATTAACTTCTAAAACAATTTTCAATTCATCATAACCATAAGTATAAGTTAATGGTTCACCTGGAATAACTTTATAAAAACCACCAGTGATTTGTTCTTCTTTTGAAGTTTCACTTGCAATAACATCACCTAAGAATGAATTTGGTGCAATTTGTGGTGGTGTAACTTCATAAGCTTCTGATCTTTTTTTGTATGTTAATGGCATTTTTTATTGATAACAGTCAATGTTTACTTTTAGAACATTCATAAATTATTTCAGTGAAAGAAGAAGAAATCAAGTTCCTTTTATACAACCTTTTTCATTATCATTTAATCTATTATGATTCGTACTGTGCACAGTAATACCGGAAGATGCTTGAATCTATATTGATAAGGATATAAGCACCGATAGCACAATTACCAGTGTACGAGAGCTATCTCCAACCATGACTTCACATTGATCTTACAGATATGTAAGGGTGCTTGAAATATATTAGTGATTCATATAGTTCAAAGTACAGTTTTCAAGTACCCAATGTGTCAATTTTCAAATTCAAGTGCTTTGAGTTTCCCAATCAGGAAATCGCTATAGATTAGATATATAACTGACTCCACATACATATGAAGACTACAAAAAATAACTCATAACCCATAATGAGCCAATTAGATTTATATATTTAAACGGAGACATCAGAGATATATCAAATTATGATTCAAGTTATTCCGATTATAATTAAGCAGCATCAGCTGGACGATGACCAGTAAAGAAATTTTTTGCATAACTACCTTCTTCACCAACAACTTCAAATTTTATCTTTGTTCCCTTTTTAAAGTAGAAGATATCACCTTCTTTTGCATCAATTGTTTGAGTCTCATCAGAAACATAAAAATGTTCAGCTTTAACTGCTAAAACAACTTTCATTTCATCCTATAAAAACATTGTTAGTTATGGTCATTGGTGTACAACAAAGGTCAAGGGATGTTTTCAACTCACATAATCATAAAAATATTCTAATGGTTCACCAACTGATTGTTGATAAAATCCACATGTAATTTTTTGATCATCTGGTGCATCAGAAGTATAGAAATCTCCAAGGAATGAATTTTTACCAGGTGAAATATCTAATACGTTTTGTTTAACTTCAAAACCTTTTGAGCTAGGAGTATGATATAATGGCATGTTAATAGATTGTTGATTTATGAAAATTGATTGCTTTAGAAATAGAACCAGCTATTCTTGAATGTTTTGAATATAGAAATTCAATTGATGATTGGTGGTTAAAAGGCTCAATTTATATACTTGTAACCAAAGGGTAATTATCAATTGCAACTGGCAACTGGCATGATTAAATGGGGATTAGATGCGCTAATTTCATTATGATCACGGGGTTTCGATGGAGTATCTAATCAATATTAAGAACACTGGTCTCCAAGTGGTTACACAGGGGTATACTCAAATCATTCAAGCTTTTTATACAGGTCATATCTTTAAATTTAGGGGATCCAGCATGATGATAGCGCGACTCAACTCAAATTGGAAACTGCATTGATAAGAACTTGATAAGCTACCTGATTTCTCAAGAATTCCATCATTTTTCATTCATATAGCTGAATATGAAATAAAATACATCAATGAATACTTTATGATTAATAAATTAGATGAGTGTAGTACTATTAAAACGTCAAATTTCTGTTATGGTGTATATTGTGTCAAAATTCGAAATTCCGACCCCGTGTCACGTGGTTTCATAGTCGGATTACCCAAACGCTTTGGCCCAACCAGTTTCTGATTTGTTTGTGTTTTCATTTTTGAAATCAAATTGTAAATTTCAAAGACAGTAGAAACATCGAGAATCACCAAGAGAATAAAGGGTTCTTTGGTGGTGATTACGCTGGTCAGAAAATGCCTAAGAGGATAGCAGATGCTAGAAGACAGTTATTTAACAGAAAGTCTACAAATCTAGATACTTCAAACTCAAATTTACTTTCTAGAACGTTAAAGAAAAATACAGATAGATATATCAATAAAAATAATGAAAATCCTGAATTTGTTATTCATAAAACTACAAATTCTGAAGATTATAAAATTTTCAATTCAAGACATCCAATAAGACAATCTAAACTTCAAGCATTTGAAAAGAAAGAACAAACTTATGAAGAGATTTTCCGTGATGAATTTGATGATTCCGGTTCAGATGATGAAGAACCTGATATTTCAGCTATTGCAAGTCCCTCCACTATAACAGAGGATAATATCTTAATCTCAGTTCCAGGATATACAAAAGAAGAAGTTAGTGTTAGTAAAAGATTAAATTATAAAGATCAAAGAAATGTTCGTTTATCAAGAGTTAGTCAATTAGATCGAGCATTTGAAGATCGATCATTTATGAGGAAAATGTCCCAAGGAGAATTAGAAGAATATGAACTGATAAATAGTGAACATTTACAATATTTGGAGCTGTTAAGAAGACAATTGAACCTGAACCCTGATGATACCCAATCTTTAGAAACGA